CCTGGTTATAGGTGGAGATTTTAATGGCCATGTGGGCATAGATAAAGTAGGTTATGAAAGGGTGCATGGTGGATACGGTTTTGGTGACAGAAATGAGGCTGGAGAGAGAATCTTAGATTTTGCGTTGGCTTCTGACTTGGTGGTGGCTAATACTATGTATAAGAAGAGGGATGAGCATTTGATAACCTTTAAGAGTGGATTAGTTAAGAGCCAAATAGATTATTTCTTAGTGAGAAAAGTAGACTGCCTAAAATGCAATGATTGTAAGGTGATTCCTGGAGAGAGTCTGGTCTCTCAACATAGGATTTTGATACTAGATTTATGTTTTAGAGGGCAATACCAAGCTAGGAAGGATGGTGGGCGTCGTAGGACGAGATGGTGGGACTTAAAAGGGGATAAACTAGAAATATTTAAGAATCGAATGGATAAGGAAGGTACTTGGGACTTAGAAGGTGGGGCTAACACTATATGGAATTCGATGGCCAATTGTATGAGGAGAATCTCAAGGGAAGTGCTTGGAGAGTCGAAAGGAACGGGACCCAGCTCTAGGGAAACTTGGTGGTGGAGGGAAGAGGTCCAAGCGGTCGTTAAGACAAAAAAAGAGTGCTTTAAAAAGTGGCAGAAGGATAGAACTGAGGAAAACCTTAAGAGCTATAGATTGGCTAATAAGGAGGTCAAGAAAGTAGTGAGAGAGATTAAGTTGAAAGTTTATGATGACCTATACACTATATTAGATAGTAAGGAGGGAGAGAAGATGGTATACAAACTTGCTAAGATGCGGGAGAGGAAAACAAGAGATTTTAATCAAGTAAAGTGCATCAAGAGTGAGGATTCTAAGGTATTAGTGAAGGACGATGAGATTAAGGAAAGATGGAAGAATTATTTTGAGAAACTATTAAATGAGGAACATGGAAGTACGACAATAGGGGAAGAAATAATCAGTAATACGATAAACCAAAACTATAGATTCTATCGCAGGATTAGAAATTTTGAAGTGGAGATTGCACTTAAGAAGATGAAATCAAATAAGGCTTTAGGACCTGATGATATCCCTATTGAAGCTTGGAAGTGTTTGGGTAAAAAGGGAGTTGCTTGGTTGACTAGGTTGTTTAGTAAAATTTTGTTGACTAGGAACATGCCAGATGAGTGGAGGAAGAGTATTTTAGTACCAATCTATAAGAATAAAGGTGATGTCCAGAAATCCCTCGGGTCTGGTTGTGCATGCTGGAAAGTGACTTGGTTTCTTTGTAGCCAAATGACCCATAGCGCACACATGGATTGTAATATCGCATTATCATCCGGAGCATTACCAATCCATTCTGAAAACCACTCCTTAAAGGACAATGAGGATCCAATGCTAAAATCCAACCCAAGAACAGACCCACGCCAAATCATTTGGGAAATTGGGCAGGAAAAACAGTGATATTCAACCTTTTCCTCTTGTAGTTTGCATCTCTCTCAAATTACATCCATATTCCTATAAATGAAAAGAACCCACTTTGGTGGGAAAGATGAGTGCCACATTTTTTCTAAACTTCGGAGTCACACATTCACCATTCTAACTCCCAGTCTAAGTCGGGGGTTATGAGCAAGAAAAAACGAAGTATGTCCCCAAACACATTTATCAGATACAGGACGTTTTGATATATGGAGAAGTGAAGATTGAGAACCAAGAACTGCCTAAGAGTGAACATTTTCGTTATTTAGGGTCGATTATCACAACAGTGGGAGAGATTGATGCAGATGTGGCCCATAGGATTAAGGCGAGATGGTGTAAGTGGAGAAGTGCGTCTGGGGTATTGTGCGATAAACGAATACCTACTAGACTCAAAGGTAAGTTTTATAGAACGGCTATTAGACCAGCTATGTTGTATGGGACGGAGTGTTGGGCAACTAAGAAACAACATGTAGATAAGATGAGTGTGGCTGAGATGAGGATGCTAAGGTGGATGTGTGGTAAGACTAGACATGACAGGATTAGGAATGAGTGTATTCGGGAATGGGTAGGAGTAGCACCGATAGAAGATAAGTTGAGAGAGAATCGTTTGAGATGGTTTGGTCATATTCAACGGAGACCAACAGAGGCAGTAGTGAAGAGATGCGATGCTGTAACGGTAGATGGAAGTGTTAGGGGACGAGGTAGGCCTAGATTAACGTTGACTAGCGTTATAAATAGAGATATGAATCTACTTAATTTGACCAATGAAATGGCCTTTGATAGGGCCGCGTGGAGAAGAAGGATTCATGTAGCCGACCCCATTTGATGGGACTTAAGGCTTCGTTTGGTTTGGTTTGGTTATTAGTTTAATGGTTAAATTTCATTGTAACATCATATATCAATAAATAAAACCCATGTAGAATTTTGAATTGTAATGGAGCTTTGTCTTGTGCAATGCATACATTAGAACAAACAGAACATTGGTATAGTTGTAGCTAGGAGCGTAAAAATGACACGCGGCTCCAAAAGTCCACCCACGGCCTGAGATGGGCCCAACTTGTTTAGGCTCGTGTGGGCCCGAGCTCAGTCTGAGTCCCTGGGCCTGGGCCATCATTTTGAAGTCTGGCCCAAGGCTCGGCCTGCCCAGTCCCGCTCGAGGCCCAATGTCTTTTTTGATGAAAAATAATAAATTTTTGGTAGAAAAAATTAAAAAAAAAAAAAAAAATAGTCAGGCCAAGCCTAAGCCCAGGCCCATTAAGTCGGACCAACGCTTGGCCCACTGGCCTGAATACCACTGGGCATGGGCCGAATTTTTTGAACCGCGGGCCAACCCCTAATCAACCCGAATTTTGGCAGGAGCCTGCGAGACACCCTAGTTGTAGCTAGTACTCACAAACTAATTAATTTCTTGCCTTGACAACTTGTCATCTTGTGTTGTATATGTATCCAAACAAATGCGACCCCTCTTCAACTATTTATATCATCGTCTGTGCATACTCATGAAACGATTTTGAACCATACACTACACACATGTTGTTGCCAATAATGTACTACGTACGATAGCTACAAGGGAAATTCCTTATGCCTCTGGTTTGAATCAAATTAGTGATAAATGTCGGAAGATTGGACTTGTCCTTTCTCTAAGCTACTTCCAATAAGTGTAGGAATTCAAAAATTAGTCACAAAATGTATATTGGAGGACAAATTGTATCAGAAGCGGACCCATCAAAAAATTATTTAAAATGTTGTTAATTTATGCATATTCTTGTATTCTTTTAGTTTCTTTATAAACATAGAATTACAGAAAAATACTCAAAACTCTCACTCGACTAAGTTGATATTATGGGTATTTTTATGCAGATCTACTTTTCTCGACAAAAAAATTATCAAAAAATATGTAAATAATGCCTTTTTGTGTGTGTTTAGGATCAAAATATAAGTTATATGTAGCCTATTTTTAAGAGTGAACGGAAGGAGAGATATAAGCTAAAAGAATACTTCCATCCATCCTCGCCTCTGGCAAAAGTGAGAAGCAGGGAGGTGTGATTAGATTAGAAGTTCTTGCATAATAATAGCTTTTATATGTGTATATATATATATATGTACATATTACAATTTTATATAGAGAAGACGTGTCAAAGAAGTCCGAGTTGATTGATTAAATTATTAGACATGCATAAATTCGGCAATGTTTTAAGCAATTATGTCATTATCACATTTTACAGTTTTTAATCATCTTCTCAAATATAAAAATTTTAATCTATTAAAATAGTCAAAAATTAAAATAATCTACTAAAATAACAACTTTTTAATCAAAAAATATGTTAGTTGCATTCTTGAAGTGATTCCTCTGCAATCATAAAATATGCTCCTATTTGTTTTACTCTTTCACACCCATGAATTACAGTTATTCTTTATTGAACATAAAATAAAAAATAATAATAAAAAAAGAAATCGATGTTTCATGTACAACAACTATGAAAGTGAATGATTAGGGGTAGCAAAGACTACATTGTTAACCAGAAAAAGTTTCTCAAATCAAATTTTGTGCAAAAATTCACATAATGGAAAAAAGTCAATTTAATTAACTTAGCCTCTGTTTGGCAAGATGGTTTTCAGGTTTTTTTGGCTATTTTAGCCACAAAAAACAAAATGGGCTATTTTAGCCATAACAAACAAAACATCACATCCAACCTATAATCATTACATTCTTCTGTCACAAAAAAAGTCAAAAAAGCCAAAAAGCCAAAAAGCTCTTCCCAAACCAAGCTTTTTAGCACAGGCTAAAATAGCCAAAAAAGCCAAAAAGCCAACCTACTTCCCAAACCAAGCCTTAGACACCGTTTGGGAAGGTGGGTTGGAAGCTTTTTTAGCTATTTTAGTCATAAAAGATAAAATATATTATTTTGGCCACAACAAACAAAATATCACATTCAACCCATAATCATAACACTCTTCTCTCATAAAAAAAGTCAAAAAAGCCAAAAAGCCCTTCCCAAACCAAACTTTTTAACCCAGGCTAAAATAGTTAAAAAAGTCGAAAAGCCAACCCACTTCCCAAACAACTACCATCTCTCTATTTTTTTACATATTTTTTCAAAAAAAAAAAAAAATCAATAAACTATTTTTTTTTTTCTACTTCCCAAAATAACCCGTAGTGCAACTTCTTTTTCTTCTTTTTTAAAGAAAATGAAGTGGTTGAACTTGAGTTCCTTTACAACAAAACACATGATCGGCTAATTATATGATACACATTTCAAAAAAAAAAAAAAAAATATTATATGACTTGTGATAATCCAAAATTATGAATTATTTTTTGTACAACTATTTTATAAGAATTGATCTTTCCTTCTCAAAATTATAAGACATGGGGTGAGTATTTCTATTTTTATTTTTTAAAAACAAATCACAAACAAGCTACTAGTTAATTTGTATGATAATTTTACACAAAAATTTTGTTTATTTTTGCTAAAAAGTTTTTTTTACTTTTTCTAATAAGGAAAGATTACCACCAGTACACAAGATTTTTTTTTTTTTTTTTTTAATGTTGTACACAATAATATTCACAGAAACTAAATTATTTTATTTATAATAAAAAAAAAGAAAAAAATATTGAAATTAAAGAGAAATATAAAAACCCAATGCAATAATTTCAGGTCAAAGCAGCTTCGTCCTCGATTCTACCAAGCAACTGATTAACGGCGTCGGCGATTTCATCAACGGTACTAAGCTGGCACCCATCCTCAACCTGCATCAATTCACACATATTTATTTGTATACACGGAGAATAAGGTCCTGTTTGGTATGACTTTAGCCTCTTGGCTAACTGATTTTTTAACGGTCATATTATTTCTTTTATTTTTTAACATATTTTTTTAAAAAAATTAAAAAATTAAATTTTAACCTTACTTTCCAAAGTAACTCTTTCTGTCTCATTTTTTAACTATTTAAGCAGGAAAAGAACCAAAAAACTATTAGCTGACAGTTATGAAAAAATATTGTTTTAATACAATTCGTCTCTGTTTGACAATTACAAATAAAATCACAATTTTTTTTTTTGAATATATTTCTACTTCAGTGAAATTTTTTACTTTTTAAGAAGTTAGCAATAGTCAAAAAATAAAAATAAAAAATCTTTAAAAAAATCAAAAATTAAAGAATTATACAAAAAATCAAATATTTTATTTTCTCTATACCTTTTATGTCAAAAAATATCCTAAATATATTTGTTTTTTGTTCAAAAAAAAAATTTACCTTATATTTTAATAAAAAATTAAAAAAATATTAAAATAACTTATTCTCAGCTAAGCTATAGACCACAATAATCTAAATAGTTCAAAAACATCTAAAAAAATAACACTGAAAAAAAGAAAAGGCCACACACCCATTAACTTAAAAATTTCCGAATAATAAAACAAAATCAATCTTTTTATCATTTGCCGTCAATTTTTTCAACAACTTTATTCTAAAAAATATAAAATAACAAAAACTAAAAGAGCAATGAACAAAACTTCTAAGGGTAGAGGATAGAACGAAAAGTGACTGTTGTATGCTATGCACTGAAACAGATACAGAAAATCATCAATTAACTAGATTTTAGCAAGTTTATTAGTGCAGAAACTCTATAAAAAATAATAATAATAATAAAGTAGGCAAAATTTTACCATGAATATTGATGTGTGGTGTCGATTTAGGGGTTGTTTGGAATGATCTAAATAAGTGTATTTTTTTCTTTTTACGAAAAGATGTGCAAAAAAATAGAGAGCTGATGTGATGAAAAAAAGATAAAAAGATAGATTATATAGGAAATGCAAAACCATCCCTTAATAAGATCCATACTTCAATTACATCTAGTCCATGTGTGTGTGTGTTTTTTTTTTTTTTTTAATATCATTGGCAGAATGTATTTCAAAAAAATTTATCCATTCATATAATCAATTTTTGAGCTTATGAATTGAATTTTGTACTCACTAACCTTAACACTGAGGGAATAGAGAACCATCTGATCCAATGTTGTTGTAACATTAAGGTGGAGAACAGTGAGCCTGAGACACTGAAGCCCAGCCACCATCTTCAACAGCTGTCTGGGTCGTCTCTTTGACAGTATCTTCAGGCTAGCGTGGCTCTCCACCATGCTCACCTCTATCTCGGCGAAAGCCGCCGATCGGCCCTCCGCCGTCGGCTCGTTGACTGTAGCCGCCGGTGAACTGTTAGTACAGTGAGTGGTCGGACGTGTTGAATACTGGGGGAAAGTGAAGAAGTCGGCGAAAAGCTGAGTGAAGCCATTGTTGGGCTCTTGGGTTGTCCTGTGAGCCTCTAGTGTCTGAAGAAGCTGCTCAAGCTCCTTCACGAAATTAATGGCTCCTCCTATAATTGATGCTTGGTCTCCCTTTAAAAAAAAACATAATTTTCAATTCAGATTATGAAAGCCAACAAAAGAAAAAAGACCCATTTTTAATTTTTTCCCTTTTTTTTATTATATATAATTTTTTACCCAAATCCTTAATACAAAGAGTGATAGTTAGACAAAGTGATTTAAGAAGGGAGGATTTTCAATTATTCATCAATTTTTTTTTTTTTAATCAAAGTCAATTTTGTTGAAAAAATGACTAAAAAGTGTACATCAATCATTTTATCAAATCTATATCAAATCAACCGAGACGATTTTTTCAATCAAATTAAGGATGAATTGAATCTTTTACCAAATTCTCAACAATTATATTTTTGCTTACATTTGATAAAATTTAAAAATTCTAAAATTTAGAGATAGTTTTTTTTTCATAAAAAATGTTTTAAATATATTTTTAAATTAAGTTTCAAATTTTCAAATAGATTTGATGAAAAGATTAAAAAGAGTAAAATTTGAAATGCTTTATATCAAATCAAATTTTAACTAAATTTATACTTAAATTTGATGAAAAAAGTTCTATCTAAAAAAAAATTGATGAAAAAAGAGAGCGAGAATTGGAGATGTTCTCACACCCAAATCGGAATATAAATACAAGTCAAATCTTTAGTAAATTTTAAAGTACACTAATCTCAAAAAAAAGTCAATAAATGTGAATATTTTGAGGAAAAAAAAAATTTAAAAGTAAGAACCTAAAATGTCATCTCTAATTGAACTAACCCTTTGAGCATAAGAAGCAGGCATCAAGGACCGAATGACGGCGAGGTATTCATTCATCTGTTTCCGGCGGTTGCGCTCCACCGCAATGTGAGTCATCCTCTGGCTCTCCAAATCCTCCTTGTTCTTCGCACTCTTCGTGCGCCGCCTCTTGCGGCGGCCGGCCGCCGTCGCCACCGCCGGTGATTCCATGGGAGGAACCAACTGGTCACCGTCAGTGCAAGCCTCAGGCGAAGAATTGGGATCCCAATGTTCCTTCCCATTTTGCATCATCGAAGAAGATGAGGAATCCCAATTTCCATTGCAACCCACAAAAGCTTTATCTTCTACCAGTAGACTAAAGTCGCCGCCATAGCCCCAACCACCGCCACCAGCTCCGCCACCACCGCCCACGGTGGTGAACTCCTTGCAAGCATAGCTAAAAGGGTCTTGTGGGTGTATCACAGCTTCTAATGCCATTTTTGCTATCTAGTTTTGTTTCCCACATACACACCTTATCTTTTGTATTCTCACAATCATTAATTGGTTTCTCTTATTCCTCACATCACATGTATACAAACATATGTGAGGGAGGATTAGGGTGTTAGGTAGACTACAAAAGTGTGTTCAGAGGCCTAGAAATGGAAAGAAGGTTAGGAGGTGAAAAACACCATAGAAAACCTACATCAAAATGAAAGATTCAAGCATATGCCCAACACCAAAAGACCAAATAGAGTTGTCCTTTTTATTCTCCCATGGTTGAGTATATGTTCGAGCTCTTTTTAACACCCTAATCAAACAATGCTAAAAAATGTTAAACATGAGATGATATATGCTTAAAGCATCTCTAATATTTACTTCTTTTTTTTTTATATGAAATTTAAGTAAAGATTTAATTAAAAGTTTTGTCTGATACCAAGTAATTCAACACTAAATTTTTAATTTTTATCAAACAATCAGTCGATCGGGAGGACGAATGGGAAGATGTTCAGGGGGTCGTATGGCCTAGTGTAAATTTTTTCAAATTTTTTCTAATTCGATTATCCACCCTGTTGACCGACCCGGTCATCCATCCAATCATCCATCAACGGTCACCTATGAGATTTGATGAAAGGTTAAATGCTCTCTTGATTTGATGAAAAAAAATAAATATCAATTTAGTAAAACAATTAGATTATCATTTTTACTAAATTTTCATCAAATTTAAATTTAATAAAATATTTGAGTCTAAGCTGTAGATGGTGGTAGGGGTGCTTTTTCCAAATTGATGGATGATAGCACCTCTTCTCTAATTTAAGGTATATTTTTTAGTTTAGTTAAATTATTCTCGTTTCTGTAGTTATGGTATATAAATTATTTATAATATATAAGAGTTTTAGAAATTTATTTATTTATTGTCTCTAAGAGTAGAAGATAATGTGGTCAAAATAACTTGATCTCAAAAAGATTTATTTTTTTAGACAAAACTTTTGATCTCAAAAAATTAATAATTTATCACTAAATTTTGTTATTAAAAATAAAATAATAACACTTTTGATGACAAATATATTTTATCCTTAAAATTTTGTCGCTAAGACTTTAATTTCTTATTGTGACCAAACATTCTTCCACAAATTATCTAAATAAAAAAATTATATATTACATTAAACATGACTATATCCCATAGTAATATGGGTTAAATATCTAATTTTTTTAAAAAGAGGTCCGGAATTTGAAGTGTATAATTTTTTTTTATTCTAAGTGTGATTAATATCCCACTAAATTTAAATCTATAACTTATAAATTAAATTTGGTAATTTTTTGAAGGTATTGGATTTTATTTTCAAATTATTTTGACTTATCTGGATACCTTCACAACTGTGACTCATATAAGATTCTCAAAATATAATTCAATTGCTATGAGTATTTTAGAAGAGAATTTTTTTTTTAAGATTCTTGATATTAAGATTTTATAAAATAAAAAACATACAATATTTTCATAATACTTAAGGTCCTTTAACAATTTCACAGAGAAAATTTGACTCAAAAAAATTATACCCGACTCAGAAAAATTTCAATTTTCACATAGAAATTTTAAAATTTCTCTTTTCATAGAGAAATTTATCCAATTTTACATAGAAATTTTAAAATTTCTCTGAGTTGGTCAAAATTTCTCTGAGTCAAATTTTCTCTATTAAAATTTCGCTCAGTCGGGGCGGAAATTTTTCTAAGTTTGGCAAAATTTTTCTAAATTAAATTTTCTCTGTGAAAATATTGTGGAACCTTAGTTAATAAAAAAAACATCTTGGACCTCTCCTACTACACAAAGTTAGAAAGGGATGTTTCACTAATTTTTCCTATTTTATAAGGATAGAATATTTAAAAAATTTCACCCTATTTGGTTTCAGTTTTGAGAATTTTATTTTTTTGAAAATTTTAGGTAATGTTTAGTAGAGTTTTAGAATTATGATTTGATAATAGAGTTGTATTTTAAGTTTGTAAGTTTTGAAATTATGATTTGAAAAAAGAAAATTTATTTGGTTATGAGTTTTGAATTAAGTTTTGAATTTTTGATGTGACATATGAAATGAGAAAAGTTGTTGGGTTATAAGTTTTGAAAAGAGATTTTAAAACTTAATTGAAAAACTTATGACTCATAATCAAATACACGACTCAAAACTTTATTGAAAATTCCATTCAAAACTCATAACCAAACTTTTTTTAAAATTCAATTCAAAAAAATAATTTGTCATTTTGGTCTGAAAAAATAATTTCTATATTTAACAAATATCGAAAACAAATATATATATATATATATATATATTTCCAAATAACAAGTAGTGATTGACAATTGCAAAAAAAATAAATAAAAGTTTCTGTTTTGATGAACCGACCGAACGATCGGCAAAACAACTGAGAAGACGTCTAGGCCGACGACCAGGTAAACCAAAAATTCAAAAATTGTCTATTTTACCAAACATGTACGAAAGAGAGTACATGTACAAAAAGGTGAGAGCTTTGGTTTTAAAGGAGCTCTGCCAAACGTGAAAGAGAAGTGTGTTTTGAAATGTGTGGTGAAATCAATTTTTGAACACACCATCCAAACAGAGGCTTCACGTGAAGAGATAAAATTATGATTAAAGTGCTGCACCAAACACAGTCTTTTGTTTTTATATCTCACTCACAATTATTAAGTTATCTAAAATCTCAAGTTACAAAATTTGAAGGTATAATTTAATAATTACAATTGTCTTGATAAAAGGAGATAAAAATTTAATAACATTTTTTTTTTTTTTTTTTTTAGTATGGTAGCTTATGCCTTTAAGGTACATGTTAAAATGTTTTATTTGTTTGTGTGGGGATATATTTTCTGAGTCTCAACACGTAGCCAAGTTGACGCCAACGTGTCAGCCGAGGTGCCACGTGTCCAGGTTATGATGCCAAGGTTATCTCGGTTAGGCCGAGGTTATATCTGAAGATATCGGAATCCGAGATAAGCGGATAAGGCACAAGAGTCCTAGAATGAGGAAGGACTTTAGCATGGATACAGATAACACTCTTAGGGAGTTTATCTTTATCTCTTGGAGAGTCCAGGATGAACACTGAGCAGAAATCCATTGAAGTTAGGCTTCTATGGGAACTAGGATTAAGTTAATTATAAAAGAAAGGCACCCCCGATGGGTTTAAGGTACGCAATTTATATTCTGAATAGTGAGATTAGCACTATTGATTATCTTTGAGAGATATACTAACTTGATCGTCGGAGTGCCCCCAGGTAGACGAACCACCGCCGGAGTATTTTCTTTCTGTTGCAGGCTAGTCAGGTGCCATCTATTCTACCAGTGCTTTCTAGCTGAATACTGAGTTGGGCAATGTGGTCGGAAATTCACTCACACAATTTGGCGCCGTCTGTGGGAAGGGCTAGAGAATAGATGGCCAGTGACGGACAGAAGGATAAGGTTGGGGACGAAATCCCTGCTGGGAGTGGTAAACACGTTGACCCAAACGTAGAGGAAGATGGTCGCAATGAGGAGACTCAGAACCAGAATCACGACAAGAAAGACGTCGGCTAGGATAGCGACGTGCCAAAGAAACCAGATCGAAGCGGATACTACAATGAGGACAACCTCCAGGTATGGAAGGATAGATGCTTGCGGAGGGACGAAGAGGTGAAAGAGATGGCAAACAAGTTGGCAAACCTGCAATCAGTCGTCAATTTTATGATGCAAAATAACGTCATGCATCCATCATTCCCGCTGCAGGACACGCTGATTCCAGCGGCCAATGCCCAGAAGGGAGGGCAGAAACCAATCCCAATAGCTCATCAGCACACCAGAAGCGAAAAGCACTCTCACCGCCCTTTAAGGGAGGTCGAGCGAGGAGAGTCAATGAGGGAAGAATCGCGGAGAACGCACCGCACCAAGGAGGCAAACCCTAAAGAACATCGACATATTCAAGGGCAGGCGCTATGCTTTGACACAACTCATGGAGAAGGGTCAAAGAGGGCTCACAACGAAGTTGAGAGCAGTGCACCTAAAAGGCTGAAGTTAGGAGATAGCCGGGCTCCTGGTCAGACCAAGGAAGACTTGAGAGATTGCCTCAAGAGGAAACAACATAATGCTGATGCCAAGGTAACTTCACCTGTTAAGCCGAGAACACCATTCTCAATGGAGTTGGACAAATTATAGTGGGAACGAGCCGTTGCTCTGCAAAGTGTTCCCCTCATCCTTCGGGGAGATTGCATCAGATTAGTTTCACAAACTACCAAAGGGAAATGTGAAGACCTGGGAAGGCCTGGCCAAGATGTTTGTGGCCAGGTTCGTGACAAATAAATTACAGCCATTAAGGGTGGACGCATTGATGTCTCTGAGAATCAGTAAGGATGAAGGCCTTAGGGCCTATGCAAAAAGATACTACGAGGGGTTCAACTGAATACCCGAATTCAACCAAGAAATGGCAATCGTGTCTTTTAAGAACGGCTTAAAAGATGATTGCGCTCTACGGAAGCCATTGGCAAAGACATTGCCAAAAAGCATGGAAGAGCTCATGGCTAGAATTGAGAAGTATGCCAGAGCTGAGGAAGATACATCGGGGACTAAGGAGACAAAGCAAGAAAAAGGAAACGACTCGTCGAAGCAAGGCCGAGGTAACAATGGATCAGCAAGCAAGAGATAGGACTTAGGGCTACACAGGCAGTTACGACTGTGTTCCAAATTCCAATTCACAAAGTCTTGGATAAAATTCGGAACCAACACTATTTCAGGGCACTAGCGAGTGCACCAGGAGAATTTATGGGAAGAAACCTTGGCAAGTATTGTGCTTACCACAATGAACATGGGCATATGACTCAGGGTTGTAGAGCCCTGAAAACACACTTGGAAGACCCGGTGAGGAAAAGTCATCTGCGAGACCTTGTTGATGAGGCCAGGACAAGGGAAGAATAGATAAGACTGCCTCAGGCACCAGCAGCTCCGCCTCCCCCAGCACAATAACCTCAGGCAGGAGGATCTCGGGTAATTAATGTAATTCACTCAAAGGTCAACGAGAACGAAATTAGGGAGGAGACTCAGAAGGTAAAGCACTTGCAGTATGTCTACCAAGTCGGGGAGAAAAGACATCGAGCAGAGGAGTGTCAGGGACCAGTAGTGTCCTTTACAGAAGCCGACCTTGAGATAGTGCAGCATCCACATAACGATGCCTTGGTAGTATCCCTCCAGGTGGGGGAGTGCCAAGTGAAGTGCATCTTAATTGACCAAGGCAGCTTTTGTGACATCATGTACGTCAGGTGTTACAAGGA